TCAAACTCAGGACATTGCCACTGAGCTATTTCCCCATCCTTGGAGTGGTTTGTTTTGATTTTTAAGTAATTGTGTAAGTTCTGATGGGGAAAACCTGCTCATATTGTGGCAGCCTGAAAGAGAAGTGAAGAGAGGAGCTGCAGAGAAACTTGCAGCACGCCCTCCTAGGTTGTCCCCAAGTGGACTGCCTCCTCCACCCCTTCCAGCTACAGCCATCTCCTCCTGACAGCACATTAGGCGTGGCTTTATGGGTGGATTAATCCACTGACTGGTACAGCACCAGTGTAATTCAATCACCTTCCAGAAGCCAAATCTCTGGACATGTGTACATTTCAGGGGACATTCTAGATTTAAACCAAAGCAAGTATACATTAGGTCTATAGAATTCATCAACCTAAACATAACTACAAGTTTGAACCCTGCATCTACAGTAGGGTCTACATCTCCCCACCACCATACCTTCGTCACCATTGAAAATACCATTTTATACTGTGTCTACATAAATTTAACGATTCTAAGATTCCATATATAAAAGGCACGATGAAGCATTTCTCTTTCTGTGCCATGCTTGTTACACTTCATATATTTTCCTCCAAGCTTAGCTCATATGTCCTCAGAAATGACATGATCTTCTTTTAAAGATCAAGAAATAGTCCCGTGTGCACATATGTACATGGCTTTATCCATTCACCTGTCAACGGATACTGAACTTGATTACATATCTGACTGTGGCTAGTGCTGCAGTGAGAACGGGATGGCTGACATCTCAGAGGTAGTAACATCATTTCCTGTGGAAGAACATAGGATTCTGGGTCATATGTCAATTCTAAATTTAATTTTTCAGGAATTTTCATATGGTTTTCTGTAATGGCTGCACTAATCCACATTTCAACCAAGAGCACACAAAGTTCCCTTTTCTCCATACCCTTGCGAGAACTTCTCTGTGTTATTTTATAAAGACCATTTTAGGAAGTGAGTGGTGATAGTTTACCATAGTTTTAACTTGAATTTCTTGATTTTACTGATGTTAAAGGACTGTTTATTTCCTTGAAATTGAAAGCTTTACCACTAATGTAGAAATATTATTTCTGAGTACAGTAGCATAGGCAAATTCCATGGCTTCCAATTTGACGCTTAGCTCTGACAACTCCAAATCTTTTATATGTTCTCCATAATTTCTTTAGTGTCATTCACCTAAGAAACAATAACAAAAAAATGTATGGATAACCCTGTGTGCTGGATGCTAACTGGCTGACTTCCTCTTGAAAGAAATCCAAACATAATTAGAGCTTAGTTTAGGGACTAAATCAGCGCCTTTGTAAGCTTTGCTACCCTTAGCTTCAAAAAGTGTATTTTAAATGATTTAACTTTAAAAGAAATCTGCCTCTTATCAAAATAAAACAGACTTCATCTGTATTTTGAGATTCTTCAAATGAAAGATCAGAGTTCCTGCTTAATGCAGCCTTGATCACATAAGCAGTAACGCAATACCCAAGAAATAACACACCTACGCAGTGCCTGCGAAGGACAGCAAATGACACAGGTGTTAATTTCTTACTTAAATACTCTTTTACTTAATAACAAAAATGTTCCATCAAAAAGGATTTTAAGTAAAGGAATTTTTTCAAAAACCAAATTCAACTGTTTACATAGGAGAAGAACTGCCTTGGAACAGTCAAATGGGTTGATATTCAAGTCATCAGGGAACAAGTGTCAACTACCTCAAAATAAGAATTTAGCAGTGCTGTATGTTTAAGTCCAAACAAATCAACAAGGAATTTATCCTTAATGTAAAATACCTAAATATTGAATGGACATTTTCAAAAGGTAAACATGCCATGTATTGTTATATTTCTTTGGGAAAATATTTAAATTGTTACTTGGGATATCAGGTTAAGAATTTCAGTGTAGTCACCTTTTTATTGTTTTCTCACAAGGAAAATCATCTGTCATTCTGCTCTTCAAAAGACAACAACATTTATTCTCCAAAGAACCTTGTTTTCTCTGATAAAAAAAGAAGAATTAATGCCTTAATGTAGAAACAACGTATGAAAGCCAGAAGTGATTTTTTGTTGCCTGGTTCACCTGCCCACTGAGTAGGTTTTTCCTTAAAATTAAATAACATAAGCCTGTATCAGAGCCAGAAAAAAATTGTGATCTTCATATTTCCAGCTTCTACCACAGAAGAATAGCATAATAGCTTCCATGTTCCTGCTATTTTACTTTTTAAATTAAAGTTCAAAAGCTTTACCAAAGCTTTATAAATACTTATGGGTTAATTTCTGGTGCCCACAAAAAAATGAAATTTGACTAAACAATGATGAATAATTACAGTGCTCTACAGTACTAAACACACACTCAGATTAAAATGCTATTTAAATTTTCATTGGTCATTCTCCGAACAGAAACACCTCCTTATTGTGTTTCTTTGAAAACTAGTTTGAGTTCTATTCTCTCTCAAGTCTCTAACTCTCTCAATTAAAAGAACTTGAAAACCAATTCTAGCCATTTTTTTCCAGATTACTATGTTCCAAATTTGAGGCAATCATCACCCATCTATACTAGCCTGACATGTATCTTTCTTCCCAACAAAAATAACCATCATATCATTCTTCTGAATAGCAACAAAAATATTAATAATGCAACAATAACTGTTGGAAAAAGCCATACATTCCCCTAGAATAGCATCTACTTTCAAAAAACGTAATTTTCTTGTATGTCATATTTAATTAAAATTTGAGAATATGAAACAGAAAGTATCACTGAAAAAGTAGTAGGTTTAAAATCAGGAGACTAATGATCCAGTCTAAGCTTTGTCTTTAAAGGGCTGTAGAAATTTATGGTACTTATAGACCTCTTTTAATTTCCATATCTCATCTGTACAATATCCATGTGCTGATAATCTAGCATTTGCTAGCTAAACTATACAGAATGCACACAGCATCTCTAAATATATACAGAGTCTCTGCAGAGTCTCAGTGTTCATGGCTGCAGTCTGGGTTTCATTGGACAGATTATGCAGAGATAGCTATGTCTGTGAAACATCACCATTTGGAAGACATACAGTCTTTCCCAGTAGAGGAAGGGAAGCCAAGAGTAGAGACAGAGTATCTGGTTCATGCTCTGTTACAACTTGCCAGTAAGAATGGTCCTTCCCAATGACATTAGTCACCTAGATTTATTTTACTTATTCACCTGCAAAAACTTCATTATGAGAAAAAGATCATAATGACAATGAAAAACACAAAGGAAGAAAAGTATTTTTCTAACAGAATTTGTAAATATGAAAGATACTAAATGATAAATCATGGAATTGGCAAGAAAAGAAATAAAATCTACTGTTAAAAAAAAGGAGAGCCTGGGGAGATGGCTCAGTAGAACAAGCACTTCCCTGGCAAGCACAAGGGCCTAACTTCAATCCCCAGTTCTGAAAAAAAAAAAAAAAAGGAAAATTAAACATGGTTTAAATTTTCTTCCTCTAGGTAAGAAAGAAATATAAGAATTCAGCCAATAAAAATATTTTAAATAAGCATAATCTCTTCACAAATGTAGAGACATACTGAATTTAATCAAAATTTTCTCTTGCTCAAACATTTTCTCAGGGCAACTTTAACATCTTTGTTCCTTAAACTGTAAATTAAGGGGTTCATCATAGGAACAACAATAGTATAGAAAACAGAAGAGATTTTTCCCTCATCCATAGACACCGCAGAGGATGGTTTGAGATACATAAAAGCACCTGATCCAAAGAACAGAGAAACTGCAATTATGTGGGAGCTGCAGGTGCTAAAGGCTTTGGACCTGCCCTCAGTGGACCTTAGTTGAAGGATATTAGAGAGGATGAAGCCATAAGAGATGAAGATGGTTGTGCTGGGCACAATGATGTTGATCCCCACCACAATGTAAACCTCTAGTTCAATGACATAGGTGCTGGAGCATGAGAGCTCAAGCAAAGGGAAAATGTCACAGAAATAGTGGTTGATGGTGTTTGCGTCACAGAAAGTCACTCTTAGCATGCATCCTGTGTGGGCCAGAGCACCAGCAAATGCCATCAGGTATGAGCCAAGCATTAGGCTGCAACACACTTTAGGCGACATAACAGTGTTATACAGAAGTGGACTACAGATGGCCACATAGCGATCGTAGGCCATCGAGGTCAACGTATAACATTCAGCAATGATGAAGAAACTGAAAAAGTACAGCTGGGCCATACACCCTCTGTAAGAGATAACGTTCCTTTTTGACATGAAGTTCATCAACATTTTGGGTGTGAACACAGAAGAATACCAGAGATCAATGAAGGACAAGTTGAAGAGAAAAAAGTACATGGGAGTGTGAAGATGTGAAGTCAGCCCAATGAGAGCTATCAAACCCAAATTTCCTAGCACAGTTACCATGTACATTGCTAGAAACAGGAAGAACAGTGGTATTTGGATATCAGGCTTGTCTGTCAATCCCATCAGAATAAATTCATTCACAAAAGAGTCATTTTCAGGAGCCATTCTTCTCTGTGGTAATCTATGAACAGAGAAAAAGAAAACAAGTTGCATCAGAGACCACCTAAGTCATCCAACAATATGTGAGAAATGTCTTAAAATAACAAATCTACATACAAAGGATTTAATATTGCCTTTAATATTGCCATGATGTGGAGTGACATTGCTTTTTTCTATTCAAAGCCTAAATACCTAATTATCATAAAACAATTACCAATTTAGCCATGGAGCTGAGGCCAGCACTACTATATGCAAACATGACTGCTAGGGAAATTAATCAAGAAGGGAAAAAAATGCTAGGTCAAACATACAATTGTATTTCTCTCATCTTATCATTTCTTTCTTTGCCCGGACTCTTTCTTTAACAAAACATTTGGAGGCAGAGTTCTTTCATCTTTGTGCTGACATCTATAGTAAGTTTGGCAGGGTTGGAATAATGAACCATTTCTAATCCAAAAGCAGCAGCAGCAGCAGCAGCAGCAGCAGCAGCAGCAGCAGCAGCAGCAGCAGCAGCAGAAGAAGAAGAAGAAGAAGAAGAAGAAGAAGAAGAAGAAGAAGAAGAAGAAGAAGAAGAAGAAGAAGAAGAAGAAGAAGAAGAAAGAAAGAAGAAGA